TTTCGTATTATAATATTTCAATTACGTTATTAATTGTTAATCTTCTTATTTGTATATAACGACATCCAGTGGAATGACGATCACCTCTACTTCGAATATCTCCTTCACCAATAAGATCACCTCCACTGATGAGATCACCTTCCCCAATGAGATCTCGTTCTCCCGCAACCAGACACCATCTATGTGGATCTCCTACACCCATTCAGACCTATTATTTTGATTATTTGTTTACACGTATGACTAGTTTTATCGGAGAGGAGATATGAGAGATGCGACGAGAGTTAGGACATGATTTTGCAGCAGAGTTATGAGTGCTACGAGAGGATATATGAGCCCTACGACGGGAATTAAGAGTCGAAGTAGCAAAATTAAAACATTATGTGAGTATGCTGTGAGGCAATTTATGAGACCTTCATAATGAGATTGCTGTGCTACGAGTCGATGTAGCAGGCCGACGAGGGATGTGAAAGGGAGTGCCGGAGGAACTGGCGGTTCTATTGATAGAAGGACGGATGGTCCTCGGGACGAAGGGTATGACTAGGGCTGGATATGGTCCAGTTTGGTTCGGTTTTAAAGAGAGTCGAACCGAATTCGAATTTTTGAGTATTTAATAAGTGAAACCGTTAAAATTGAACAAAACCCAAGTTTTCGGGTATTTAATAAGTGAAATAGTTGGGCCCAAATTTAATTATGGAACCATTCAGGTTCAGTTCCTTTCGGTTCCATTCTATTCATTTCAGTTCTCGATTTTTGTACAATAATTAAAAATTTTAATATTTACAACAATGCTACATTAATTTAACTAATAACATGTTCAATTTCAGCTCTTACGAAATAACGTAGTTCAATCCCCCGATATCTTTTGCGCCTCTTTTTGTCGTGTCTTTATAGATTTGGCTGTTAAAATCACAGGAAGATGAAGACGGGTACAATAATGAAGAGGGGCACAACCAAGCTTCCAATTCGATTTCTCTCGAACGGTACTATTGTAGAATAAGAGATTTCGATAAAAACTTAGATCAATTTGATTAATTTAGGCTCAGGCTTTAAATTAGAAAGAAAATTCATATTTTAGTTTTGAGCTAAATTAATTAGTTAGCAAATTTATTTTTTTTAAAAAAATTAGCTTATTTAAGTTTAAAAAATTAGGAAGATTCGGTTCTTATTCGATTTTTCGATTTTTGGTCTAGAACAAAAAATCGAATCAAACTCGTTGGTTCTCGATTCAGATACTCATTAGGGTATTTAACTTAAGAAAAATCGTTCGATTTGGTTTGGGAGTTTTGTCCAACCCTAGATATAACAGTGCCCATCACAAATGATACAAAGATCCATTGTGGCCATTGAATTCTCCTTCGATGAGTTCTTTTGGATCTGTGATTTCGGGGGTGAAGAATGAGAGGTCTCGATGATGGTGGGGATGTCGTCCTTGGGATAGAGGTTGTGCCCCCCATGGTGATGGAGGAAGTGGAGGTCCAAATGATGAAGGGGGTGGTGGTTTCAGGAACGGAATGGGTGCCCTCGATAGTAATGGAGGAGTGGGAGGTCCCAGTGATAGAGGAGTTCGATGACGGAGGTAATGGAGGTAACAAAGGGGATAACGGAGGAGGGAAATGTCCTAGTGATAGAGGGGTAGAGTAGGTGATGGAGGTGACCCCAACTTGACGGATGAGGATGACGTGACAATTATGTCGGAGGGGGCAATACTGATACACCAGAATAGGTGGTCAACAAGATGGTAGGTTGCCCAACGTCTTCTGTGACGTAGACCTGGTAAAGAAGAAAGTGTTCGATGGTTGGTTTAGCAAGATTGGACCCGGGAAAATATTTTATTAAATTTTGCTACATCTATGCGCTTTTTAACAGTTTTCTTTTTATTCTTTTAGAGTGATCTACAAGATAGGGGAGACTACGATATCAAACGCAAAGAAAAGGTTCAACAATGTACAAAAGAGTGGAGCATGACTCGCCGACGACGTAAGTGCATATTCGTTGCTATTTATGTTCACATAATTGGTTATTGTTTCATTAAATTTTCATATTTTTCTTCTTTTTTCTATTGTATTATGTCGATATGGCTATGGAACGATTGCGCGATCGGGCTTGGAGACACTTGAAATCATTTGATGTTCATGATCGAGTTATCATGAGTTGTGAGTTTTCTAATGACATCCAGATTGAGCATGACATGAGCTTTGTGGGCTCTAAGCGGTACACATTGTCAACTTACACGAGAGATTACGTAAAAGGGCTCGTGCTAAGATGGTGAAAGTCATGGACCGGTTGTACACATTTCTATGTCCCAATGATAGCAAACTCGCATTGCTTTGCAGTTGAGATCGTTTTCTATTAGTTGAAAATGTTCGTATACGACTCCGATCATAGTTGTACTATATAGGGCAGCTCAAGCGTATATTGATGCCAATGGAGATCGTTCCCGTGATGGCTAGAGCAATTGACATTTCAATACGAATAGAGGAAGATGACGATTGCAAGATAAAAAAAAAAATTGTAAGTTTTTTTATTTGTTAAATTATGTTATAGTTATACATCATTGGATTGATATATTATTATTTACATACAGGGGTGATTGTGGAGTTTTCAC